GCTTACAATATAATTCATATTACTTATAATACATTCCTTCTTGCTGTTAATTTTGACGGCACGTGTAAACTAGTTAAATAAATATTTGATTTTGATTTAATATCATTTTTAATAATTGGAAAATATTATTTTGCGTATCATTTTTTTTTCGAGGAAACAAAGGTTAACTTTCAGTTTCTATTTATTTTAGAAAAAGCATAAAAAGTCGAAACTCAAATTTCGTTTCAGTTTTCATGATACAACGACATGTGCAGAATTGCCTTTAGTCTTACTTTAACGATTTTTACGTACTTAACTGATCGTTATAGTATTAGAGCATTATTACAGTTAAAGTAGTAAGTAGTTGCATTATCTGGAGTAAATAAAATACTTCTCACTAGCGCCATTCGCCAATGTTCATGTCCTGGTAAATGCCGGGATTATAAATGCAAATTAAGTAGTTTTTTGTTGTTTTTTTTTCGGTGGGAGGATGAATCAAAACAGATTGTAGGTAGACAGTTGCGTGAAAATCGGCGAAACAATTTTGAATTCTTGCTTAGTCTGTTACTTTCACTTTTGCGCAAATGCTATTGGGAAAAGCGTGCGTCATTCACCCCCCCCCCACACACACACCAGTTAAGAACTAAACAGTCGTGTAAATTGGAACATCTAGCATTTTGGTCGCCATTGGTTTTAGGACTGCTTTGAATTCAATATCATGCAGAAGGCAACGGGAAACCACTTCACTTAGTTTTCTTTCTCAAAAGTTACGGCAATTTATAGATAATAAAAGAAAAAGGAAACTGTGGAGAGTTATAATCGGATATAGCCCCACAGAGAAGGCAGCAGAAAACCATTTTATTATCTTCTCCAAGATGTCATAGCAATTCACAGATAACGACAAAATGAACTGTAGAAAATAATGGTTATGTCCTGAATAGACATAACATTAAAAATAAAACAGAGATAGATAGATAGATAGATAGATAGATAGACAGATAGATAGATAGATAGATAGACAGATAAAGAAAGAAAGAGAGAGAGAGAGAGAGTACCCGAATATTTTTTTTTATATTCACGAAAATAAAATAAAATTCTAGATGCTTTAATTACTTCAAAGTTTATTTTAAGTAGATACTCGTGTTTAAAATTGACGCCCTTTTTTTAATTTTAAACTGTGTGTATTATATCTATCGATCTACACACCCGCGAAATCTTAATAAAGAAAATGCTCTCCTTGGCTTCAGAAACTCACTACGTTTCTGGAGATTTTTTTCCGGGGTTTACCATTTTTAGTCCCAAATCTCATAATGTTATTTGAATATTTTATTTCGCTACAATGGCAAATTCCATTCCTTTGGCGATCTTTTCTTCATTTTATATAACCCCTCAATATGATGCATCCTGCTTTGTAGGAAAAACCGCCGTTTGATCCGCCATACTTTCGACTGCTCGACGAAAACAGTCATTTCATTATGCAATTAGAATTAAATGTTACTCCCGTGAAGGAAATTTCTTTATCCACTTTCGTAACATGTTATGTTTTATCCTGTAGACTCCCACTGGAGTGTAGCCACGCCCTACACTAGGCGTTGCTGTTGTTGTTTCTATTGCAACTAGGATTTACGAGGTGTTGTTAGCGCCACATACAACTGGTCTTGAATTCAAATCTGTCCTTCTCCTAGACTGGTTGTCAATCAAACCTAGTAGACCATTCCTTCCAGTTATTAATCCCGAGCTGGGGAAGTGATTATTGATTTACATTTTTACGGCTTATCAACCCTTTGTGGGTTCGTTAAAGCAGAAACATATTTTTAAGAATAATTCTTTTATTTTTGCGTGCAAATATTACATTGACGATATTTCAAGAATAACAATGATTTTCCAGACGCAAGTCCTACTATTTAACCCATAGATGGGAAGAGAAAATATGGATTAATAACATAAAGGCCTGGGTTAGAATTTGAACACGACACGCCGATCCCACTTACCGCAACGTTAACCTTCGTAGAATGCAACTGATAAAATAATCGGCAATATGACTGGCGATGGGACAGATTGAATGAAGATTTGTATTCTCGCCTTTAGTGTTAGAATAACAAAAGCAGTTCGAACTCGGTTTTCCAATTTCGATTTGCTAACCATTAAGCCAATTTGCACATCTCATTCACAACGGTGAGGGATAATAGAACTATGACTGCGTAATGCGATTTACAAAGAGTTTTCTAGAACAAAACCAGGCTGATGGTATTCATTATATATGATGTCCACCATTTTCTTTTGATTGAATAATCTTCAGTCAATTGCTAGCGGTTATTAAATAGACCAAACAAAGCCATTTTAATTATCTTTCTGAAAAACATTCCAGCGTTTTGTCAACGTCGAAAAATGCAATGTAACAGTCATACTAATTATTGGCTTTATGAAAGAGGATGTTAACATACTCACAATAATAAAAACAAATTGCATGGTAGTAGTAATTATACATATAACATCCCTATTTTTCCCCCCCTTGCTTTCTTTACGGCCACATCACGTTGAAACACCGGCTCCCGAACAATCACCGAAGTTAAGAATCGTCAAGCTTGGTCAGTACCCAGATGGGTGACAGATTAGGAATACTAGGTGCTATAAGTTTGGATCTGTGGGCTGTGTAACAGGTAATGGCTCGGAATTGTCAATCGGAGTGTCGAGTTCCAATTCCAGTCTGGTTCGTTATATTTACAAATAATCTTGGGAAAGGTATGAATCTGCATCTTCTCCCCCAGCTATGGGTTAATTAGTAAAACTTGTGTCACTAAACCGTTATTATCTTCAAAAATAAAATAAAATTGTGTACAAAAAAATGTTTACATTATTTACATTATTCGGACTGTTGTCCTCATCTTAGTTTGCCATATTTATCACAACGTTTCGGCTGTTGTACGCTCCGGCCTTCTTCAGGTGGTTGGAATGTCGAACTGAACCCTTTATTTCGCTCACTGGGGTAGACTGTTCTAGTTCCACGTTTGATGGATGTTAGTTATCAGTTATCTCCTGCTAATTTTCCCTCAGAAAGTTCTCCACTGCCTTAACCGGGTATTGAACTCACACTCTTTGGGTCCTGTCACTGGATCTAATCAACGCCTTTATCGACTGTGCCATGTGTCCTTGAAGAAGGCCGGAACGTACAACGGCCGAAATGTTGTGATAAATATGGCGACAAAGATGAGGACAACAGTCCGAATAATGTAAATAATGTACATAATACCTCATCTCAGAAACATAGGCAAAAACATGTTTAGATATCTGCATTAAAAAACCCATAGAGATGTCGATATGCCGCTAAACAAAAACAACCAACCAACCAATCAATAATGCTTTCATTAGCTCCTTTTCTATTCGTCTTTTTTTATCGGCCGTTTCCCTTCAGGACGTAGATAACCATGGCTCTCCACAATTCCCGATAGTTCATTATGGGACAGTCTGTATTTAGCATCAGAAAGAGATAATTGAAATTTCTAGTTCACAAAATGAGGAAAGAGGGCTTGGAAAATATAACACTTACAAGGCAGACTGAAAGCAAGAGGGACATAAGAAAGCCATGAATAGCCTGTCTAAGGAGCTTGTGTAAAAGGTTGGCAGAACAGGGAATGGGAAGGATAGCAAAAGAAAAAAAATCTCTAAGAGCTGCAAAGGACAGGAAGTTGTAGAGAGCCATGATTGCCCATGCCCTGAAGAGACATGGCAAATAGAAAAAGAAGTTAAACTTGTAAAAAAGCTTTCAAAGTGTCGCGCATTTCGGTCTACCCTCTTTTCATGTTCACCTCAGGGTCATTGTTAGACAAAAAGGGTATTTCACCTTTGCGATCAATCAGTTATGTGCCATGTGTGATACACGCTTAGGCGATAATGTATCTTTCGATACATGACTGACGAAACAGATTTTTTTCCCACAGTATGTTGTCATTTCTTTCTGCGGGAGACCAGTTGCCATTCAAGGCTATAGAACCCGATCTGTCCTGCTATTTACTCATAGCTGGGTGAAGAAGAAGAGGATTTATACCTTTCCCAAGGGTATTAGCACGTAAGTGAATGTAATGGATTCGACTGGAATTCGAACTCGGATCTCCGATTCCTCAATCCGAGCCGATATCCATTACTCACGTATGATTTCCATTTCATTCAAATAGTACGTTTATGTAAATCTTTTCCCTCTCCCAGCTATGGGTTAAATAACATGACAAACTGGGTCCTATAGTCTTGATTAGCAACCAGTCTACCACAGAAAGAAACGGCGGCCAACTGGGGAAAATCTTCTACCTAGACCAGTGGTTCTCAAACGGTACAGCGGGCCTCATACGTACGGCCAAAAAGGGTAGCAGGTGAGGCGGAATGATCGAAAGACAATCAAAAATTTAGAAACAGTTTTAAAAATTCATATGCCAAAATAAATATGACTTCGAAACTTAAACTATTATTATGGATTACTTGTAATTGTATGCATGAGTCACATTATAAATAGTTATAAATAATAATTTACCGATTTTATCATTGTGATATTTTTGCCTTATATCAAGTATTCAGAATATAGTCACTAGAGTTTGCAAATTGGAGGAGAGAGTTATCAATGATAATGTTCTGACTTCGTTTCCGTGGTTATCTCCCTTTAATCCCCTTCTCTCTCTCACTCTCACACACTCTCTCTCTCTTTTATTTTTAAATGTACTTTATATCAAATACAATTTGGTGAGGCGCGAACAGATATTCATTCTGAAAATGCGGCCCAGAGAAAAAATAGTTTGGAAACTACTGCCCTAGACCGTTATGAATCGAGTGAGACATGGCCGCCCTAGTGGTTATCACATATAGCACTTAACTGACTGTCATTTACGTGAGATTATATTTTAGTTCAATGGCCAACCTTTCTAGCGTATTAAAAATAATACTTTTCAAATAACTATTTATTAACGAATTGTTTCAGAAAAGTTCAAGGAAATCTTGCAATTATCTAATTTTTTTTAAGGTTTCAATTTTTTCTCCGCCTCCAATTTTACGAGTTTATTGCTATGCACAAACTAGGAGATGTCCAGACTGAGTGGGCGGTTTATGTAATTATTCCATTGTTTTATTTCAAAATCACGCGAATACTGTGTTAATGTGTGAGCGTGCCTGTTTATACATGTAAGTCACTCACGCAGAACGCAAACACGGGCATATACATTGCGCACGCGCATGCAAAATCACACGTGGACAGCGTGTGAAGGTCAGAGAATCGGTTGTTCTTTTATAATATAGATTTATTCCTGTTTTTTTTTTTTTATTCTTTCAAACTTTTCAGCTTTCTTTCTATTTTACATTCTCTCTTTTTATCCCCTCACTTAACAGATGATCGCCTGGGCCTTTGAAATAACTGCCTGGTAGAAACGATCTGAAAAAAAAATAGTTGTTCTTATTTTCCCAAGCTTAATTCATGTTTGAGTTGTTCTATTCACGATTACACAATTATTAATTTTATTGCCGCTTCTTTTGTAATATGAATCTTACATATGGCGTTGTCAGTATGAGAATTACGAACAACGAGCATTCCCACTATTAGATGTCCTAGGTATGACGATAAACTACAACAGTATCCAGGGTAAGACGATAAATTACGTCCAACAGCAAGGCCTCTGATCAGGAGGTTTTTTTTAGGATCGTGGAACCACCTTTTAATTTCTGGCGTTCCCAGGTCCACTCTGACCCGGGGTGGTAGCACCTGTTAGGGTCCCAGCTATGGGCAAATACTTAACGCTCTAAAATGGATCAAAACGCCATGAAAGTGTAAAAATAGGTTTTAATACCAGAAATACTTTGTAAAAAATTATTACCAGCAATACATTTTTGAAAAAAAAAAAAAAAAAAAACTATTACCAGCTATACATTTTTTAGGAAAAAATGTTACCAGCAATAGTTTTTTTTTTAAAAAATTACCAGCAACAAAAAAAAATATTACCGGAAATAGATTTTTGACAAAACAAAATATTACCAGCAATGAAAATTTTGTCGGCATTAAATAACCCATTGAAGTTGATATGCCGTAAAACAAAACAAACCAAACCAAAATAGAGGGCACAAAATCTCCAATATGCACTACATGCCAAGAGAAATTTACAGTAAAAAATGTACTTTTAGATAGTGTGTAGATTTTCATCTAGTGCGAACACAATATTACCAAGTGAGTAATTTAAAAAAAAACTTTTTTACGAAAAAAAAAACAAAAAAACATCCAAGATTGTAAATTTCCTAAAAGAAGTTGGATTGTACTCAAAAATATGAGTAATTGAAAAATGGTTCAAATATACATCCACACCTTTTTTTTTTTTTTTTTTTTACCAAACTATCGCTATGAATCTACTTCAAAATTTTGTTGGCATTAAATGACCCACTGAGGTTTTGATATGCCATAAAACAAAACAGCCAACCAACCACTATTAGATGCTTCGGAGATTGAGCTTATGAGAGACTGAACATTGATTACAACTAATTCTCGCTCTAAAAAAAAAATAAAAAAATATGAAAAGAAGTTTCTTCATTCAATATCAAATAGAACAATTTTTGTTATATTTACAATGTAATTTCGGAAATGTTTTACCTTCGTGTCCGAAAAAAAAAACAAAACAAAAAAAAAAAACAGTGTGCCTAAAGGACGGTTTTTCTCTTGCCACTGTTATTAGTTGAACTAACTTCACTCCCCGGCCATATTTTCAAAATATGTGAACCAACTACAATACGATATCTGTTATTCACCATTTTATAAATGAATAACTAGGAAATAAGCTTTTCTTTCATAATTTTATAAAATATCTATGAAGCATTGAACAAGAAAATTTAAATAAATATATACTATGGTTTCATCATTTTACAGCTAAAATGGCTCGGTAATGCTAACAGTTTCTTCTAGTGTGCTTCTCGCTTTTGGAACTCTCTCAACTGTGCTGTGAGATAAAAAAAAAAGGTTAAAAAATAATGGCGTTTTATTATAGTACCAGCAATAGTTTTCTTTCAAAGATCTAGTTTTCACGATTCCTTTCTTTAAAAAAATCCCTTGCCTTACTTTTTTTTTTTAAGCACTATTTCTGAATGAATACTGCTCACAAAAGGTAGCGGCAAGAGACCGTATTTATTTATTTATTTTTTTAATACGCATTTTTCACCTATCTCCAAAAAGAATTTTCTGTTAAAATTTCATACCTTAAAACTAACTATTAGCATTTCAAAACCAAGTAATAACGAATACGCATTGGAGTTCGATCTTCACTAGGCACTCCATACTTTCGGCCTTGTGCCACATCTAAGCTACTCTTAGAAAATCATTATTGGTCACTTTGATGTGGAGTAATGGTTAGCAATCTTGTCTCGCTAGATCAATTACGACTAAATAGTGAGTTCGATCCTCACTGGGTGCCATATACTTTCGGCCTTGTGCCACATCTAATCTACGTTTGGAAAATTACCATAAGCGAGAGAGTTGCACTGTAAATGACCTAAAGAAATGTCTAACCACATTAAAAATTGGGGAAACTATTATGTATCATGTTCGCTAATTTTATATGTATAAATAAGTTCTAGTCACATGCGGGCATCTCACTACTATAAAGAAATTTCAAGAAC